TTTTTTTTTTTTTTTTTTTTTTTTGCCTCTCATACAATCAACTGTAGACTGCAAAAGAATATTTTAGGAAAAAGAAAAACTGGCACAACAAATCGTTGAAAAGGTTGGTATGAAATTTCCATCTCAATAGCACTCCCATGACGTCTGCAAATGAGCAATCAATGATGCTAACGATGTCAGCCGTAAAAACTAAAAGTTTTAATCTTTCAAGTATCAAAAGAATATTTGCATTTAGCTAACTGCTAGCCAACCGTCAAAACAGCTGCACCAGCAAATTATATCACTGTATCTTAAAAGAACAGAAAGATTGAAGTTGATTGAAAAAATTCATTTAAATTCTTCACAGCTGGTGCTCATAGTCTCAGAATTATGTGTTACTTGTTAATCAATAGAACAATTTATCAAATAAACGTTAACAAAATGTTGCTGAAATTTTTTTGAAAATACAGTTAAAAGCGCAACAGTACCGATGTGTAACTGTACCAATCATTATAATCTTTCTGAATTCAAATAGCATATTTAATAAAACCATGAGAACAAATTCGCTACCCGATATATTACGAATTCACTATTTCATCGTTCATATTTGAATTTTTGGTTAACTTTCTGTCAACTAGTAAATAATTTTTGATCCAGCCTGAGACAATTCTTTTGTGGGAAAAAGATGACTACTGACAAAAGAACTGCTCTGATTCAGACAGCTAGCAAACAGAAAATTTCTAGTGTTTTTGTGCCAAAAAAAAGTAAAGGTAAAAAGGAATACATATATATATACAAAAAATTTTCTGGGCTAAACTAAATTTTAAATATAAGTAAATAGATCACTACGCGAGAATGATGACCTAAGCTGTATGGTATCATCAAAGTATTAGAAATACTTTAAATTTGATCGTTTAAAGGGCGAATAATTCCCATATGGAGATGGTCACTATGCTAACTGTACAATAGAACTACTAAGCGTTCAATTTAATACTCTTAAAAAATGCCGTCACCAAGGACGATAGTAAACGCACAGGTCATAGGTATTAGTCCATCGTCTTTCCTGCGGTTTACGGTTACAACTTCCTGATCGTTCAAAGGAGTATCACATTCCTCTAACAGGCATGAATCTGTCTTTAAAAAACTTCGTATTACAACAGTTCAAACTCAAAACTTTCTTATTCTTCCCTACCACAATGAACATTTTTAACATGTACACTTACTACAGTTGAAAATCTTCAATTTTTTATAATTGCTGTTCTCTCTTTTATTTCTTTTCAATAGCGTGCTAATTTCCAATGCATTCCAGTTGAAGAATGGATGCAACATTGATCAACAGCTTACAGAAAACTGATATCACCATGGTGATATGCCCATAGATGGCAAGTATAAGAGGAAAGCTGAGCTTTATTTTCTAAATCAAACGCTCACAAAGTATGCCATTAATGGTGTATAAAGTCAACAGAAACAAATCCAGCGGACTAAGTGAAGCATAAACAAACACAAACACGAACATATACTCAAATTATTTGAAGTATATAATTTCACTCAGTAATTCCTATACAGAAAACAATGCCTTTAAGAATATCAGGAGTTGTAAAATATCGTTATACTCAAAGTTTTTGTGTGAATAATAGGAGGGTGCAAAGATGACATCAACATTCGAAGTTACCACTGGAGAAACCATTAATCATAAGCAGTTTGAAAAACTTATTCAATTTACCGTCTCCGAATCAGCCATTTAAATATCGAAACAACTAAACTCCCTAAGGCATTAAAAAAACTTGGCTGCTTAGACGATCCGCCAACATTTTTGAGGTTTATGCCAAATTGACAGCACTGCTTAGTATTATATAAGATACAGGTTTCGCTGTCTCTGTTCACTGTATATTTACGGCAACAACTATTTTTTGCTTATGGATTCTGCTCTGGAATAGGTATCAAGTTAGAACTGTCATTATAGATGGCGACAATTCAAACATCATGTCATTTAATTACTAATGTACGTCACTGATAAATATTACAAGGTGAACGGTCATCAGAAGTAATTTGGTAGTAGTCGCTGTAACCCTAGTAGACACTTTTTTTGTTGTTTTTGTCATAAATAGCGTAGTCGTTGTTAGGAGTAAAATATATTGCTTTTTTTCGACGTCTAAAAACGCTTTTAAATCGCCGTTGTTGCGTCTGGTGGTCTATACATTTTTCATTTTTTCACTTTTTTTTTTTTTTTTTTCACAACCTATTCTATGGTCTAAACAAGGAATTAAGTATATTCATTCTTCAGTTGTTACCCACATAGTTGATTGCTTCTTCTCCTTTTTTATTTTTTATTTATTTACGTTGCATGAGCGTCTTAAATTTCATAGGGATCTCAAAGATATGAAAAATTTCATTTTATTATTTAGTCGTAGCATTTTTTGCTTTCTTTTTTTTGTTATTCAAATTGTCAAGTTATAGTTTTTTTATTCTATTTTTTTCCGGTTTACTCGTTCTGAAAATCGTATATCTGTTGTAATCATTGCTGTAACTTCTAATAAAAAAAATTTTAGTGGCCTAAATTGTTGCTTTTTTTTGCTGTTGTTTGACAAATGGAAAGGTTTATAAGGTGAAAACTACTAAAATTTTTTTTTTTTTTCTTTTTGCTTTTATTTGAACAACATTACATTTGGTAATGACTTCACAGCAGTTTGATTTTTTTTATTGAGAAGTTGAAGGAGTGATCGATCGATGACAGTTTTCTGTGAATAGCTTTACGAGAACTTTTTTTTTTTTTTTGACAAAGTCACAAAGTTCACTGATTTTTTTTTTTTTTCTTGTTACTGTTGTTGTTATTTAAAAGATTAAAAAAAATATTGCTAGACTTTATCAGTTTTTGATTTATTTTACGGAAATTTTTTCTATTGAATACGCTTCTCTTTTTTTCTCTTTATCATTTATAAACTCAAACTATTGGTCAACGTCTGGTTCCTTAAAATTTTTCCGCTTATAAAAACATTCAAAGAGGAGGAGGGAAAAGGCGTCAAAAATGCACTGTAATGCAATATTTTCTTTTTACCACTGTATTTGAAATTCGTTTAATTTTGTCTTTTATTTATTCTTAGTATAGTTTTCTGTTAAAAAAATTTTTTCTTTATTCTTGACTGTGACGTATAATGCAGTTTTTATCATGTTACTGGTGCAGAAGACTTTAGCCAGTGTGACTTT